GGTAGCGATTTTGACAACAGTGTGAGAGTGGAGAGGATTGTCTGGGGGCTGGGAGAGGGCTCCTTCAGTGTGGCGCTGGGACACGCCCGAGGGCAGTGTTACTGGCCAGTGGAGATGCATTTGTTCACAAATGCTGGGTGACATTGGCTCACCATGTGGGGGAAGGAAATTAGATCTCTACAAAGATCATCAGTAGAAAACGAGACAATTGTGATTAAACCTAAAGATTTGAAAGTAAGCTCTGAATCTTTCCAATGAATTATGAGTATCTTTGTGGTGCTTTACGACAAAGGAGGCATTTTGTTTTTGTTTTTTTTTTGTTAGGCTCTCATATAACTGGGGCTGGCCTTGAATCCCCAATTCTCCTGCTTCCACCTTCTCAGTATTGGGGTTACAGGAATATATATACACCATGCCCAAGAAGAAGGGATTTCTGTCTTTAAAAAATTATTTGTGTATGTGTATATATGTATGTGTGTGTGCGCGCATGTGTGTGTATGTGTGTGTGTGCATGTGTATGTGTGTACATATGTGTATGTGTATATGTGTATGTGTGTGTGCCTGTCTGTATAAGTGACCCAGCATGCATGTGGAGGTCAGGGGCAACTTGAGGAGCCAGTTCTCGTCTTACATCTGTGTGTGGACTCTGGAGCTCAGACTCGGGCTTTCAGGCTTTCGTGACAAGTGCCATTGCCTATTGAGTCATTTCTGCAGTCCAGGCAGGATTTCTCAAATCACAAAAAGCATGACCATACTGGAAAACACTAATAATGTTATTACATTAAGTGGAAAAGGATGGCAAAATATAAGGTAAATAGGAAGATTGGAAGCTAGGTCCTTCTCTTCCCTTACATTGATTGCTGTTGAAATGGAAATATTTTGGATATGTTGAGTTAAATAAGCACACTGTCAGAATAATTGCTTTTATCAATAGGGCCATTAGGACATTTTATACAACTTTCATTGGTGGCACCTGTTCTATTTCTCTTGGACAGTGCTGACTTTGAATACATAGCCTGATCAATGAGGAAAAGGAGAAGAAGCCAGTAGGAAATGGACAAAGGATATAAACAAACTGCTTGTTAGACTGGAAATGCTGATGGCCGACAGATATCGGAGATGTTTAGTTTAAGTTAAAACTGGGGCAGTGCAAACCAGAATTACAAGAACATGGGCGCCAAGACAGGATTTAAACTAGTTGAACATGAATTGATTTTTTTATTCTTTGAGAACTTCAGACGCGTTTACAATATGTATTATCATATCTCTCCCTGTAATTCCACCTTTCCTACTCTACATACCCGTGTCCTTTCCTTTGTGCAATGCACTGAGCTGTCTCGTGTGTGGACATAGGGCCATCTACTGGGGCACAGGCAGCCCACTAGGGCCGGCAGCCTTTAAGAAAACTGGCTCTTCCTCCCCGGAAGTCTTCAATTATCAGTAGCTCCTCTCCTAGAGCTGGGGCCCCAAGAGCAGCTCCCTGTTCCTTCCGGAGTGTGAACTAGAGTTTTAAATGTGGAGATGCTGGTCTTTTGGACCAGGGCCCAAGAAGACAGGTGACGAAGGTCTTCATTTTGCAGAGTCACCAAGGCCCCGGGGTAGAGATGGGCGTCACTGCTTCCTGTCTCCTGCTGTTTCATCCCGAACCCCCGTGTTTAGTCATCTCTTTCTTCTCTGGCAGTCTTCATTTCTGACCAAGCATCGGGCTGTCGTCATCCAAGCCTGTTTCCTGTTCTGAGAACTCTTCCTCAGGTGGTGGGTGGAACAGACCCCGCAGTGTTAGCACCACAGTGACGGCAGTCCCAAAAGAAGGGCTGGTCACGACCCAGGGACCCCAAGAGACACGTAACCACCTATGGAACTGGATGGAGTGTTTACAGGAGGAGGATCCTGTTGGGGCTGCAGCTGCTGCCGAGGACTTTCCAGGCGTGCTGTATTGATGACCCCCAGGAGCAGCAGGACCCAGCGCAGCAAGCCTTCGGCCCGCAGCCTTCTGTACACTCCTAAAGGAGAAACAGAAGGCCTTTCAGTAACTGCGAGTTGTTTTCAGGGGTGCTTTTGCCGATGTAAAAAGGCCAAAAGCATATGGCAAAGAATCTTCTTTTACCTTGAAGAAACACACACGCACACACCCACGTACACACGCACATACACACACACAGACACAGATACGTGCACGCACACATGTGCGCGCACACACACACTTAGTACATAAAGAGGAAGTTACAGTGTGTTCAGTACGTCGTATTTCTAAGTCGGGAAACTGTCAAATACTAGAGCAATGCTTCTACCCAGAGATGTTTGGGAAGAGTTCGGGTGCTCCCAGGTGGTGCAGAGAGCATCCTGGCTCATTTGTGCAAGAGTGAGCTAACAGTTGAGCAAGGAGGATGGAGAAGTCGGTACAGTGACCGGGCTGGCAGGAAGACTGCAAGCTCCAGAAGCTTGCTCATCTAGGCCTCCTGCAGCGCTCTGGGCTTTCTCTTTAAAAGTAAAGAACTGAAAAAAAAAATAATGTGTGGATGACCTATTACACAAACCGTATCAGCCAGAGTTATCAGACAAGTTCTATGGAGTTGACTATCCTATCCTATGGATATCAATAACTCCAATATTCCTTAGAGCTTGAAACGTGGGCACACGGTCTAATACTCTTTTGACAGGGCAACTTATTATGATAATGGGAAAGGTACCTTAAGAAAAATCATTCTTTTTATGTAGTTTTGAATCAGTTTGGCCCTGGTGCTCAAGTTGCTGCTCCCGCCCCCTGAATGCTGAGATACAGCAATATGCCCCCATGCCCGACTCATAAGTGACATTTTGATTGACAATCTGGTTGTAACAGTGCTGGTCACTGTGGGATTGCTCTGAACTTCAACTTGACAACCTCCATGCAGCAGAGCATGCATTGGCTGGGCTGAAAGAGCAGTAATCATCAAGTTTGGCTCCTGAGAGCCCATATTAGGGGACTAGTCATCTGGGTGTCAGAGACAGTAACCCCATGTCTTGACTATTAGACGTGTGTTGGTCAGCTGAGGTTGCTGTAACAAAACACTGTGGACTGTGACTTATGAACAATGGAAGTTTCTTTCCTTTGCAGTTTTGTAGGCTGTGGAGGCCAGAGGTCAGGGTTTTGGGGGGCTCTGTTCTGATGAGGGCCTCTTCAGGTCTCAGATTGCCACCTTCTATGTCCTTGAATGCTGGGAAGGGGTAGAGAGAGTTGTCTGAGGTCCCTATTCTGTGGGCACGAATCCCATTCATACGAGTCCCATCCTCACGATAGGTCGACCCTCTAGTGCTATCCCACGGTGGGTTAGGAGTCCGCAGGAGACTGGAAAGAAGACACAAGCCATCTGTCTATGGTACCCACCCTCCATTAAAGCCTCAGTTTGTACTTTCTTGAGTTATCTACCCAATACATTTCTCAAAAGTGTGTGTGTGTGTGTGTGTGTGTGTATGTCATGCCTGGATATTTCTCTTACATGTTTTCAAAGGCCTGCATGGAATCCCCACTTCCCTAGTCTACTTCTGACTTGATCTACAGATGAAGCTAACTAAGCCTTGGTTTTGTAATTCCTCAGACACATGAGAGAATATCGCTGAGCTACAAAAATGGAGTCCTTGTCTCGGTCACCACAAATAGCACTGCATGACATGGCTGTGCAGAGATTTTTGCCAAGTGCTGACCTTGAGTCCCTGGGGCATGTGCTCAGGAGAGGTATAACTGAGTTGGTTGACATCTCTGTTTTCAAATTTTGTGAGGAGCTTTTGCACCAATTTCCATAGTGACTTCAGTAGTTTGCACTCCTCTGGCAATGTTGAAGGTTCTTACTATTATGTATTCTTTTTCGGTTTTTGTTTTTGAGACAGTGTTCTTCTGTATAATCATGATTGTCCTGGGACTAGCTCTGTAGAACAGGCTGGCCTCAAACTCAGAGATCTGCCTGCCTCTGCCTCCCAAGTGCTGGGATTCAAGGCTTGTGCCAAAACCCTCTGGCCTGTATATTTTTGATAATTGACAAATATTTCATCAGTAATTTCCAGAATCAGTCATCACCATTCACAGACCTCTCCTGGTGCCCCACAGTGCCTTCCTCTCAGATGCTGTGTGCTGTGGTCTGCACGGCTGCCTTTTTAAAATACCTGCCCTCCCCAGAGCCTCCTCCTGATTTGACAGTGGACACCCAATTGTTTAGGATGAGACTTTGGCATCATCTTGGTTCTGTGTCCTCTCACACACCCTGAGTCTATTCTAACAGAAAATCTGTCTTCACGATAGAGAATCCATACATATCTCCAGCTTGGGCCACTGTCACCTGCTCAGCTTCTATAGTACATGCTTCTCTGGTCTCCTGAGGCCAATTTCTGCCCAGCACTCAGAGTTAATGCAGAAGATTGACCACCGACTGTCTAGAGTGCTGCAGGGCTCTTGGCTACCCAGAGGGCTTGGGTACCCCTCCCTCAGTTCATGCTGCCCCAGCCTCTGGGCCACCTGGGAATGCTCTGATGGACTTGCCCAGGTCTGGCTTTGCTCCCGCTGTTTTTCTGACTGAGTTGCTTCCTATCCTTGTTCCAGGGGCATGTGTTCCCTTGCCTCCTTCAAAACTGGGTCCAGATACTCCCTGTGAGTCTGCTGCACCCCCAGATCCTGCCATGCACACACATCCCGTCTTGTTCCACACAGCTGTCTAACACACATGAAGCCGGTAGTGTGTACGCTTTCTTTCCCATCAGAGGGAAACACTCCTGAGGGCAGAGATCTAGCCGTTCATTGATGTCCCTACACCTTGTACCTCATGGTGATGGTCTCTGCTCGTTTGCAGATAAGTAAATGGTTGACCTGAAAGTTGAAAACGTTGAGAACTGGGGACTTGAGGTCCTTGCTGCCTCTTCTCCAGCTTCAGGGGTGGGGGTGGGGACAGCTCTTCCCCTCAGGGTCCCCAGAGCTCACTGGTGATGCCTGGGCTGTGTGCCTCTGACCCACGTCCCCTCTTCCTTTCTAGACTGGCCTTATTGTTGCGTGCTACCACGGCTTCGTGGACACTGTGGTGGCCCTAGCGGAGTGCCCCCACGTCGACGTCAACTGGCAGGACAGCGAAGGGAACACAGCCCTCATCACGGCTGCACAGGCAGGTAAGAGCCGGCCTTCATCTCCCTTGGGGACTGCCGCCGGGCAGTGTTGGCACCCGTGGCTCCTGAAAGATGGAAACAGATCTGCTCGTAGCAGGTGCCAGGAGGGGGCACCCATTCTCCCCACGCTCCTGGAATAGCATGTTTACCCACTCAGGGAGGATTCAGAATGGAGCTTCCCCCAGCCAACGTCTTCACCACACTCCAGAAGGCAGGTTTGCCTGCCACTCAGAGCACCGACACCCTCCAAGACCGGGTGGCATGGCACCGGCGGGTGGGAGTCGCAGTCATGTGCTTTACTGACAGTTATGTAATTGGGTACACTGAGAAGGTGACCTTACGCTTCACCTATAAAGAAGAGCCAGGGACAGCTCTCCGAGCTTCAGAGAATTCAGGTGCCAGAGTGCAACGAAATTAGTCTTGTGAATGTGGTTCCAAGTACGTGTCAGGGTCGTCTCCACCATGACCTAATGCACTGCTCCCGTGGGTTGGCTTGCACTGCATTCAGGCGGCGGGCATGTCGCTCAGTTGGTAGAATGCTTGCCTAGCAGGCTCAATGCCCTGCGCTCGATCCCTAGCGCTGCCTAAGCCAGGGCTCAGCTGTGCTTATCAGTGACGCCAGCACTCAGGAGATGCGTGCCATGGGGGCAAGCTTAGGGCCACAAGGTCATCCTTGGCGTATTTGGAGTTAGAGACCAGCTTGGAATATGTTTTCAAATACCTAAATAAGAAAATAAATAAATTTATAAAAGTTATATATATTATATTATATATATATTCCATTCAATATATTCCATTCAATCACTTTAACATAAATGCTTACACAGTCTCAAACAGTTGTGTAACTGATCTTCCCCTACATTTTTAGCTTCTATAGATCATAGTCAGCTCTTTGTATTTTGAGATTTCCTATCTGCAGATTCTACATGGATAGACAACACATTGTTTTAACTGGATCTAGAGCAGGGGCTATAGATAACTTAGTGATAAAGCACTTGCTAACCAAATATAAGGCCCTGGATTTGGTCCTGAATGAAACAAACAGCAGCAATAACAAACTCCACGCAAATAAAAATAGTATGTCAGCACTAAGCACATACGGACGGCTTTCCTTCTCGTTATGGGCTTAAAATACAGTGTAACACATATTTATGTCATATTTATGCTGCATTTGTTTCTGTAGCTAATGTGGGAGATGTTTCAAGCACACAAGAGGATTGTGCAGGTTATATGCACTACAATAGTCTTTTAAAAAATGTAAAAATTATTTAACTTTATGTGCATTTTGCCTGCTTGAATGTCTGTGTACCACAGTCATGCAGTACCCATGGAGGCCAGAAGAGGGCGGTAGGTCCCTTGGGACTGGAATTACTGTTGGTCATGAGCCACCATGTGGGTGCTGAAAAACAAACCTTTGTCCTTTGGAAGAGCAGTAAGTGCTCATAACCTGGGAGCCATCTCTCCAGCCTTGAGAACCTGGTATCCCACGAGGGTCCTGGTCCTGTCCTCACAGCAAGAATGACCATCTGTTTCATCAGTCATGTTCTTAGCCGCAAGTAACACAGCCACCTGTGGCTAAGCCAGGAAGAAGAGGCCTCTGCATTCTGAAAGGGGGTGGGGAGCTTGGGTGGTGTCTTAGGGTTGCCATTGCTGTGTTGAAACGCCACGGCCAAAACAACTTGAGGAGGAAAGGGTTTCTTTGGCCTACACTTCCACAACACTGTTCATCACAGAAAGAAGTCAGGACAGGAACTCAAACAGGGTAGGAACCTGGAGGCAGGAGCTGATGCAGAGGCCATGGAGGGGAGCTGGCTTGCAGCCTGATCCCATGGAGGCCTTATCTCAGTGGAGGCTCCCTCCTTTCAGATGGCTCTAACTTGTGCTCTTGACTGTGGATGTGATGTGACTAGCTGCTTGAATTCCTGCCTCAGTTTCCCCTCAGTGATGGATTGTGACCTGGAATTGTCAGCTGAATACCCCCCCCCCCCAACTTCCTTTTGTCAGGGCATTTTATCACAGCCATAGAAAAGAAATGACCACGTGGCATGGTGGCATTTGAGAGCTGCCTGACATGGGTGCTGGGGGCCAAACTTAGGTTTTCTGGAGAGCAGAGTTCTCTTAACACGGAGCTGTTTCTCCAGCTCCCATACCCTTAGGAGGGGAGAACTGAGGAACAGCTGGAGGTCACTGAGCCATGTCCACAGGCCTCTTCCTTTGAGACACGGTCCCACTACATTGCCCCAGCTGACCTTCGACTTAACAACTGTCCTAGCAAAACTTTAGGATTATTCCACTGTGCCAGACGCTTCATTTGTAAAACAGATTTATTTTTAAATTGTGTGTGTGTGTGTGTGTGTGTGTGTGTGTGTAATAATGTGCTTACAAGTCCAGGTACCCATGGAGGCCAGAGACATACATTATATTTCCCTGGAACTGGAGTTACAGTGATTGAGAACCACTCGATATAGGAGCTTAGGACCAACCCTGGAGCCTCTACAAGAGCAGTACATACTCTTGATCATCCAGCATCTTTCCAGCCCTATTTAAAAAGCAGATTTCCTTTTATTATTTTTAAATGGTGTGTGTGTGTGTGTGTGTCTATGTGTGCTCGTGCGTGCAAGCGTGTGAATACAGGCTAGCCCTTCATTTTAAAATAATCCGCCTATCCTCTCCAGTCCTCAGGGTCTTGTTTTACCTCCCTCCTCTCTACTCTTTCTCTCTTCTATTGTTTTAAAGAACAGATTAGCATTTTGGCAAGCCTTTGCTTTCCTAGCCCTGCCCTGCCGCTTCCTGTAAACCCAGCTTTCATGCCCGTGGCACACTGTCCCTATGCCCGAGCCACGCTGCAGCAGTCCCAGCCACGCCGCTCTCCTCTCGTACCTTGGAAGGCGTCCGGGACAGGAGGCTTGTCTTCCTCCAGCCCCTGCTGCCCCAGCTCTGGTATCTCCCCGTTTATGGTAGGGGTCCCCAAGGAATTCCTGTCCGGTTAGGAGGCTGCGTTTCCAAAGCCAACAGCTCCCTCTACTGGCTTGCCCTGGAGAACTACAGTGAGTCAAACTAGACAAGACTACGCACCACCCAGACTCTCTAACAGCCTTTTCCTTTTCGAAAGCAGCCTTGAATAAAGGAAGACATTTTTCACCTGCCCCTGTTCTTAGTGACAGCAAGACTCAGCCACAATTGGTGCTTGTGACAATGTTGAACGAGATGGTGATTAATTACGGTGGTGGCCATTTAATCTTAAATGATGGGGCTCGTGGCTTGATGATCATGAAGTGTCTGACGAGGGAGCACCTCCCGAGGGAGAAGTGGGCATGTTCTAACCTCCTTATGGGATAGGAATTCACTGAGCCTGGAGTCTGCAGCCAGTTGGAGGGCTGTGGTTCACCTTGTCACCAGTGGGTTCAAGTCCTGTTGCAAACCCAGGGAAGAAGGAGTGTTGGGAAGGACGGTCCAGCAGGTAGCCAGGCAAAGGGAGACTGGGTGTTGTGGGAGGGAGGGCATATACAGAGACAACAGGTTATAGAGTTCCTGAGGGCTTAGCAGAGGAGCTGTAGACACCCAGAGATGCTTGTATATCAGCGTCCATGGTTCTGCTATTCATAGTAGCGAAGTTGTACACCAAACCCAGGCATCCAGCAACTGGGCTGTATAAAGAAATGCGGTATATGTTCATAACAGACTTTTTTCAGTCATAAAGAGGAAGTTATATTTTTGTAGGAAAATGGATACGACCGGAGTCAAATTTCCAGAAAGACAAATCTCGTATGCATTTCTCAGTCGTGACTCCTTATTCTGCATAGCAGCTACACGACCATGCACACATCCACAGCACCAAAGCAGAAATAAACAACAGTGGTTCTCAACCTGGGGGTCAAGACCTCACAGGGGTCAACTATCAGGTATCCTGCTAATAGGTAATCACATTACAGTCTATAACAGTAACAGATGTGCAGTTATGAAGTAGCAATAGAATAATATTATGGTTGGGGGTCAGCACGACATGAGGAGCTGTATTAAAGGGTCGCAGCTTCAGGAAGGTTGGGAACCAGTGCTCTAAGGGAGCTAACAGAATGGGGGAGGGGTGGGAGAAGTGAGAGTAGATGTATGAGTGTGTGTGCGTGTGTACGTGTGTGAGTACGTGTAAAAAAGCTTGGGAAAGAACCCAAGCCATAACACAAAGGAGATCTGCGAGGTCACCGGGCAGGGAAGGGAGGCTGTGGTTGGGGGACAGAGGGTGAAGAAGAGATGCTCACCACAGAGGTGAACTGGGGTGCACAAGCCTCTGAGGGTTCTGAGTGGCTGCTGTGGTCAGAGAGGCTTCCTCCTGGACCGCACATGCTATAGGTGGAGGATGGGCAGCAGGGAAGCCAGGCCGGCCAGTCAGAGGAAATAGTGTAGCCCAGATCAGCGGGTAGACACGGGCACAGAGAAGCTAGGATGGGACGTTTTGGGAGACAGAGAAGAGGGGGGATTGGCAGAATTGCTGACTGGTGGCACGTGGGAGATGGGGAAGGTTTGGGATGAAGCCCAGACTCCTGGCTTAGATATCTAGTGCTATCCATCACGGAAGGATGTGCTGCGGGAGAGGAGTGGGCCGGAAGGGAAGGTGTTTGGGATGTGATGCAACGAGTTTGGCTTAGTCGTGGGACACCCAGGATAAATATCCGGTAGACAGATATTTAGGTGCGAAAGTAAGAAAGGACAGAAGTAGATGTGGGTGAGTTGGAGAGTTGAGGATAATAACCGAGTGCAGGGAGTGTGGGGCTGATGGCAGGACCGTGTGGATGAGGAGAGGGCCTCTCCATCGTCTCAGGAGCAGGAAGAGCAGAGAGGTGGGGGGGTCAGAGGGAGAGATCCTGGAGTACTCATGGGAGACAATTCCGTGAGTGAGGGGACAGTGGTCAGTGCTGGGGGGGTGTCAGGTATCAGAAGGGACCACAAGGGGTCGCTGGAGAGCTGTTGGGAGGATTCTGACAGAGCTTGAGGGGTGTCCGTACCAGATGAATGCTGCATGAGTCCTAATTGGTCTTTATAATAAAATCCCAGAGTCAGATGTAGGGGTGAAAGCTGAAGGAACAGAGAAGCAGTGTGGTCAGCCACTAGTTCTTACCTCTACCAGTGCTCAGACCAAAGGAGCCATCCTGTCCTCAGACTGGTGGTTTTAGACTATCTCTGACTGACTGCTTCAGACTGCTGCTGCCTCAGACTGCCTCTGAGCTCCTGTCTCCTCCCACCTTACATTGCTCTCTCCACCCAGCCTTATCACTCCTGTCTCCACCTTTCTAGTGCTGGGATTAAAGGCATGGATCCCAAGTATTGGGATTAAAAGTGTGAGCCAACAGCACTGCCTGGCTCTGTTTCTTTTTTAGACGATCCCGTGTAGTCCGGGGTGTCTTTGTTTTAGAGCAAGCTCTTTTTTTTTCTTTTTCTTTTCTTTTTTATTGATTTTTATTAAGCTCTACAAACAATTGACTGTTTTTTCTTTTTGTTTTGTTTTGTGTGTTTGTTTGTATTTCGAGACAGGGTTTCTCTGTGTAGCTTGACGACTGTCCTGGAACTAGTCCTTATAGACTGGCCTCGAACTCTCAGTGATCCACCTGCCTCTGCCTCCAGAGTTTTGGGATTAAAGGTGTGTGCCACCCCTGCCTGCAAGCTCTCTTGAGTATAGTGATGACCTCACAGTTATGTTGGGCACCATTCCTTGGGCGGGGTGAGGCTTACTGTGGGGAGGTAGGGAGTCTCTGTGGTGAGCCTGCTCTTGAGATGGAACCAACTCCTGTAAGGTGTAACTATGTGTTTAATATAAATACACATGCATACATGAGTGTACACATAAACACACACACACACACACACACACACACACACACACACAACTCACTTGTTCTTCGCTGGTCAGGTCTTCCTGGGGGATTAAAGCAGCACCTCTCCCGTGGCTGTCAAGGATGTATTGCTACATCCATGAGCTCCCCCCACTCCCGTCTCTACTTGCCCTGACTTTCTTTTTCTTTTTTCTTTCTTTCTCTCTTTCTTTCTTTCTTTCTTTTTTTTTTTGTTTGTTTTTCGAGACAGGGTTTCTCTGTGGCTTTGGAACCTGTCCTGGAACTAGCTCTGTAGACCAGGCTGGTCTCGAACTCACAGAGATCCGCCTGCCTCTGCCTCCCGAGTGCTGGGATTAAAGGCGTGCGCCACCACCGCCTGGCTATCAAGGAGGAGGAACAGTTAATGTTTAGGCAGTCTGGGAACACCAGGACCATCTTTAGTTTCTACTGAACACAGCCATCAGTGTGACAGAGGTGCTGTTCTCCCTTCTGGAGAAGCCTGGGGCAGGGAGTGACTCTTGGGCCATTAGAGCTCCAGACCGCAGTCAGAGCCGATTTTCTGACCTTAAACAATATACATAAAATATCCATGTAATGGGCAGTTGGCTCTAGAGTTTGTTTTCTTCTCTCTGCCCATTCAAGTTGCCAAGGGTGTGTGTGTGTGTGTGTGTGTACAAACAGCACCTGCTGCAAATTGTGACTGACACACAGTGTCATGCTTTGATAGAAAAAGAGCGAAACAAATGGCAATTCGTTTCACTGAGACGCGGTCTAAGTCTGACTGTTGTGTGACAAGAGTTCACGCAGAACGCAAGCTAACGAGGTCCCAGGTCGTCTACTACTCCACCGGCTTCAGAGCCGTTGCGTTACTGTGGTCTCGTGACCCCAGCTTCATCCTGACCCCCTCGCACAGAGGAGGCCCAGTGACTGGTGAGTCCTAAAAGCACCGTCCCAAGTTGGAACCTGTGTGCTAGGTAGCCTGGAGCCCCAGCCTGGGTCTTGTTGGCTTTGTAACAGTCAGCAAGGTGGTGACCCACCATTTCCCACTGTGGCTGAGCTCGTTGGTAAGCCTCAGCCCAGCTTCCTAAGAATCAGAACTCTGGTTTGTGTGCTTGTTTGTTTTAACTTTTAAGTTGGTAATGGGCCAACTCCAAGGATTGAGTTTGCACAGCGTGACAGCCGTCTGGAGTATACAATGTCTTCTGCAAGGGGTCACAGGGGTTCCAGTCTGGATATCTATCTTACTTGGGTGTGGTTGGACTGACTGGAGGCACGCGGTGTATTGATTTAGTATTGTGCTCACAGTGGAAGGACTGGGAAGGGGGTGAAGGCTGAGGACATATGTGCTCCCTCTCCCTTCTACCTCCATCCTGAAGCCTGCTTTGCCGGGATTGCAGCCAGGTCAGGGAGTCGGGTTCTCAGAGCTGCCACCAACTGCAGACTGAGAAGTGTGCGCAAGCAGGGGAGGCCCCGAGGCGTTTCTTGGTCCTATGCTGTACCACCCATTCCGCCTCTGCCCCAGAATCACGCTGGGAAGGGGACTCTGGGCTCCAGTGGTCTGAGTTCCCTAAGTGTAGACGTCCAGGGAAGGGTGGTGTACGGAGAGGGTGGGGATGCCCCCGAGGCCCCGTGCCTGTGGGTCTGATAGTAGAGCTGAAAGGAGCATGGGTAGAGTGGGGTAGAGGAGGGAGACTCAGACAGCCTGAGCTGCCCAAGAACGGAGTGACTTTGGGCACCCGGAAGCTCCCCCAAGATAGAGGGACTTCTACAGTCTCTCATTGCTAAGGCTTGCCTGCCATCTGCAGAGTCAGGATGGAGATAGAAGATAAGGGGAGGGGAAGCCCTTGAACACAGGGAGGGGGGCAAAGAAAACTGCTGTTTTGTCTGACATGGATGGTCTTGAAATAGCGATAGCAATGGAAGTGATCTTCCATAGCCCCCTTCAGGGAGCGTGAGGTGATGTCTACTTTCTTGGTTGTGGAGGAGTGGTGTTTGGTTGCTCTTGTGTTCTGGGGGTGCAGGCCAAGAATACAGCTAGTCAAATTATAGTGTGTAAGTCAGCCCCCATGGTATCTAGCTCCGGTGACAAGGCTGTTGTAACCGATTTTGACCCCTGAGGGTGGGTAGGGAGGAATAAATCACGGAAGGACTAGGGAAGGTGGACAAGTTGCCCAGCCCGGCCGAGTGTGGGTAGGGTGGGAGATTTAGCAGCCATTTCTGCTATGCAGGTAGTTTCCTGCTGGTCATGTGATCCTTGCCAGCAGGCCCCTAAGGCAAGTGCCTGGTGTTCAAAAGTTCTGGGAGTGAGCAGAAACCATATTCTGTTTGTGAGGAACAAGCTGAGAAAGATTCTATGACTGTGCCTGCGTGTGTGTGTGTGTGTGTGTGTGTGTGTGTGTGTGTGTGTGGTGTGTGTGTGTGTGTGTACAGGCACATACATACAGTGGTGTGTAGTAGGGGTGAGGAGGACCAAAGGGAGGCAGAAATACATCCTATTATAGGTGGTAACCAGAGGCGCCCAGCATGAATTAAGATACAGTCTTGCTTTGGATTTTCCTACTGATGCTCCATCCTTGGAGACATTTCCCAGGCTCCTTTGCAGCCTGGCTTCTGTTTGCCGTGGTGACTCCTGACTGCACCGTGCCTGTGGGGAAGTGAACTCCTTCCTCACATGGCGGTGCCGTCTGCCTCTGCCCCTGCCTCCCTGAGGAAACTGAAGGGACGCTAGTGACCTATACTGTGTGTTCCGACCGAGCAGTGTCTCCCACTTTCCTCGGCTCCCTGTGACCAAGAGAATTGTGATGGGGATCGAGTGAGAGCGCGCGCGCGCACGCACACACACACACACACACACACACACACACACACACACGACAGCCAGTACGGTTGGCGACGAGCAGTTTCTGTCTTTCTCTGCCCCACAGAAGCGATCACCTTTGCGGGTACTTGGATCTACATGCGTGTCTAATTCTTTTTCAGGGCATGCCACCATCACCAACTACTTGCTGAATTATTACCCTGGTCTGGACCTAGAGAGGAGGAACATATTCGGCTTCACAGCCCTCATGAAAGCGGCCATGCAGGGCCGAACGGAATGTGTGCGAGCCCTGATGTTGGCAGGTAAGGTCCGCCTGTCCAGTGCGGTCTCTAGGCTTGTGATGCACCAAAGGGAGCTCCTTGAAAGAATGCATCTTAAATAGACCCGTGCTGTTCACAGAAACAGTGACAGAGTCCAAAGTAAATGACATCAGGGCTGGCCAATGAGGGCTGACCACAGCCCTGGCCATTTCCTGAACCCCCCCACTGCTCCCTGCTGAAATCTTCCCTCCCCAGTCTGCCTATTGGCTCTCTAACTGTGCTCAGGTTTATTCTTCGAGAGTGGATATTCTGGGGGCTGGGCAGATAGCTCAGTGGGTAGAGCCATGCGCCACGTGCCTGAGCACTGGGATTGGGATTCCACACTGGGGAGATGAAGACAGGAAGGGAATCTCAGGAACAAGCTGGCTCGCTAGACTAGCTGAACGGAGGCGTTCCAGGATACAGATTCCTGACGTCCATTGGGCTTCCACATGCGTACCTCCTTATGTGCATGTGTGTCTATGCACCGGAACACACGTGTACATGGAAAGAAATGTTCATTCTGGCCTCACCGGTGTCCTAAGGAAGATGACCCAGGTGGTGCGGATGGGTTGGGAGGGGCTGCTCCTGCAGAACTTGCATGGGGCTGTCCTTAGGCCACAAGCTGGATCAGCAAGAATGTACCCTTACACCACCTGTCCTTGACTCCCCAAAAACTTCCCTGCCCTCATCTTTCTCTCCCTTCTCCCTGAGACAGAATATGATAGCACTTCGTAGACGATTGATAAACCTGCCATGTGAAAGTCCTTATCACTGATCTCTTCAGTCCTGCTCCTGATTTGAACCTGAAAAAGATCATTGCTAGGTCAACATGAGCAGGTGTCTTTGAGAATTAATTGAGAAAAAAAGGAACGTAAAGCCCAAATAATAGTGGGTTCAGAATCAACATCTAACACCGCAGAGGGTGCTGTGCTGCTGTTACTTCATGTTCTCCACACTGGGTGTAGCCGGTCCTGAAGAGCCAGGGCTTATTAACAGTATCTATGTACTGTTCTCAGTTCTAGAGGCTGGGAAGCCTGACATCAAGGCACCAGCAGATTTGATGTCTGCGAGGAATCCAGTCCTTGTGTCTTCACATAGCAGGGTCAAGCTGTCCCCCTGAAGATTCTTTACAAAGGGCATAAATCCCTCAGGACAGGAAATGTCCTAACGTTCCCAGCTCTTAATACCGTCACAGTGTGCACAAAGTCCCAGCCCGTGAGTTTTTGAGGACACCAAGGTCAGATCACAAGTCTCCTCTGACCCTAGTTACCCAAGGGTGGTGACACTGTTCTAGACATTAGTCCTTCCCATGAATGCCCTGTTTCTGTTCTGTGTCCCTGGCTGGCTGGCTCCCACGTGCGGGTCCCGTGTCCTCTGTTCCATCCAGTCTGTGGCAGTTGCTCTGTCTTTGCCAGTTGTTGTGCGTTGTACAGCATCTTTCCACCTCATCCTTGTGCTTAGTCTGCAGTTGTGGGCCTCACAACCTTGGGTTTTCTTTCCTCCTGCTTTAATCTATGTCTTAGAAACTACTTCAAGAAAAACACCCCAGATTTAATGAACAACAAAAGAAGCTTAGAAGATAGAAAACTCTCTTGGGGAAAAAAAAATCATAATTAGGATTGACTCCTGGGACTGATTAGATACTAGGACCCATATGGTGGAAGAGAACCAGTTCCTGCAAGTTGTTCTTTGACGTCCACATGTAAGCTTGGCACATTTGATAAATACATCCATGTTAAAGGGTATTTTAAAATGAATCCCACCGACTGTGCCTTTTGTTCACCTGAGTTTAATTTTTAAAGGCCAGATATCAGGGTCAGCAGAGGTAGGGTTCTCCTGTCCCATTTCAATGAGAAGTAGTCATTTCTAATTAAATGGTGATTATCTGAGGCTATTGTGCTGGAAGAAAGCTTTGTCCGTTTTCACTGGGTCAAGATCTAGTTATAGCTAGATGAAGATCTTTAATGATTTTATGTTCTTCAGCCCAAAAGTTAGGGTATCAATCTCATCAAGTGCATTTCCCCCAATTAATTAATTTGGACTATCAATTCTCTTTTGGCAGGAAGTAAAGTCACTCACTATTCCTGTCATTTCTTCTTAGCTGTCCTGCAGTTCCAGGCTCAGCTGCAGCCTTTAAAGTTTCTCAGAAACGCCTTCCACAGCCTCTGGAAGATGAGGCCATTTCGGGCTCGATGTTAACATCGCTCTTTCCACCCCTGCCTGCTGTTTGCTTACAGATTTGACATAAGGTCTCTAAACTTAACTCTTCCCCATTGATCTCCACAACCACCGCGAGCTTCTCCCCTCCACTGAAGTCTAGAATAATTGTCAGGAGTGCGCCTCGCTCGCTGTTGGCGGCTTTGTGTCGAGTGCAGCCCAAAGCCCAGGAGTGCAGCTTCCTGTGCAGCCTGCTGCTTACCTGCGCGTGGACCTGTCTCCTACCTCTCCTGGCCTTAGCTGATGACAGAGGCCTGATGGCAGTCGTATCACAGGAAGTTGTAGGTGGGATTTTGTTCATATGAGGACAGGGTGCCTAGCTTGGAGGAAGTTGTAATACATGCTGGGTACAGTCAGCTTTCATTGTTGGTACATTTACACGATCAGGAGTTACTTGTGAATGAATGAAAAATAGAGCATAGTTTTCTCTTTGAAAATCATCCTTGGGATGAGGTGTTCGTGCTAAGGAGAACGTAACGTCTTGACACCAGTGACACATGGAGCAGCTCAGTCCTTGTAGAGCCCATCTTGCCAATGTAGGGCTTCCATTTACCAGATGACTGGGGCACCCTCCAGCTGGGACACCCCAAAAATGCTTACGAATTGCCAGATGACCCCCAGGGAGGTGGTTCTCTCCCACAAAGAGCCACAGATACAATTAATTAAAGTGGGATATGATAAATTAAAAAGAAAAGGAAGAGACCCTCCTGTTCTTGGACGCCGTCCACCTCCCTTAGGGTGCTCCTGACGGGAGCGCTTAGCCTCTGGAATGTTCCAGTTCGCACCTGTCTTAGCTTATAATTATCAGGAAGCTGAACTGAGTTTTCCTTTTAGAGGAGATGTATTTTAAAGGAAACCAGTGTGCGAGCGGATGGCCTCCCTGGGTTTGTTAGACAGCGGTAAGGATGCCTGCTGGGATATTTTCAAATACTCGCCACTATTTTGATTTCTTATTACCATTTAAGTACAGTAGTATTAGGAAAATGGAGATATTCCTAGGTACCAGTTAGCTGTGCATAGAATGCATTTAAGTACAGCGGAGGACAGTGACTCAGAAGCAGACTACAGAATTAGCCTATGATTTTTTTTTTTAAAAGGCACGTACAATACTACATACTAATGTAAAACACATGTATCTCATTCTATTTTTTTTAGAATGCAGGATTTTTTGGTTCCTGAGTGCTTTTATCAGCAGATTTGAGTTTTCTGGCTTGCAATTTTATCATGTTCAGTTGTAACCACTTCTCCTAGAATGATGAATGATTGAATTGGCTGACCTCCTAAACCCTTTAGCTTTCTCCACAGTCGACAACACACAGGCACACAGCAGCCCTTATCTGCATTGTCAGGTAGGATAAAATAATGTTGGGATTATTGGAACTCTGAATTTAATGACAGATGCAGCCAATTCTGCAAACCGACCGGGTGGCTGTTTGGACAGGCTTCCTGATAATGTCAGCCATTCTGATAAGCATCGAAAGGGACATGCGGCACCTTGTTAACCCGCTGGAATATTAATGCGTCGAAGTGACAGGTCTATTTCTGTAAGTGGCTCCAAGGAGCTGTGTCAACGATGTGATTTCTTCCCTCGATGGAGGTTGCCAGGTTCCAGACCCGCTTAACAGAGTTCACTTTATTCCTGAAGTGTGATGTAATTGCTGCAGCCTCGGAGGAAGAATGTGAAGCCTAGCATCCCCCTGTGGTTCTTGGGAACCAAACAGATCGACAGGGAGGTGAGGAGCACACTGCGGACAGTAGGCCTTGTGTATGTGCTTCCCTCCTAGACAGACCCTCATGGCTTGCTTCTCAAAAACCAGGCGATTTGTGTCAACACAGAAGTTGCTTTCAGTTTATGGAAGACAGACATTTTCTGTTCAAGTTATGAGCCCGGAAGATGCCCACTAGCACTGGTAGTTTTTGGAGAATGTGACCTTAGGAAGAGGCACTGTGGGGAGGGAGGCGAAAGCGATGATCCCCTTGTGGACCACTGGATGGCAGCCTGGACTCTGAGAGGCTCTGACCCCCCAGGAATGCCAGCTGAAGGCCCGGGGAAGCTGTGCGGTGTATCCTCCGGCTGATCTCCTGATAGTGCCAGGTCCCCACTTGCTGAGTGTCACGGGAGACTTGCCATCCCTGTGTTTGAAGGTGGCCCTTGTGTCACAATTGACTGTACTTTTAGGGCCTAAGTTATAGGTCAGAGCAGGCACAATGGCCATGATGTCAAGGACTGGTCTGCAGTGCCAGGAGGGAGGCCTCAGCTGGGTTTTGTAGGACAGATAACATGGAGGGTAGCTACTGGGACAGAAAAGGAAAAAGGAAGTGGCACATTCCTGCTTCCTGCTCTGTCTCCCTCTCATTTGGCCCTCTGGGCCTGGGTCTTCACACCTCCCAGGGGAGAGTGTTCCTGAGACCTAGCAATAGAAGGCCCACCTGTCCTCTGTAGCGCTTGCTTTCGATGGTCCCAGTAACAAAATAGTCCATCCTGGGTATGATTTAAAGAAGGCAGACGTCGGTTTCTCTCAGCTCAATAGAAGCCATGGGTCAGCAGATCCTACCCAGGGTTGACCTGGGTTCCATGACATCACAGACCCTGCTTCTTTTCTTTTGTCCACCAGTTCTCCTTAGTCTTGTCAACCTTGCTCTTGTGTGTGTTTATACATACATGTGTGTACGTTGGTGTGTATGTATGTATGTGTACGATGGTGTGTGTGTTCACGCATGTGTGCACACTGGTGCATGGGTGTGCATACATGTAAATTGTGTGGAGGTAAGAGGTTGGTGTTTAGTGTCTTCTTTTGCTCTCCACCTTGCTTTTTGACCTTGGTTTCTTGCTGAACTTGGAGCTTTCTGATTTAGCTTGATTAGTCATGAGCTCCAGGGATCCCCCTGTCTCTGCCTCCCCAGCCCTGGGATTCTAGGTGCTCTCCACCATGCCCAGTGCCTGGCTTTTTACATGGGCTGGGAATCCATTTAGGTCTTCATGATCATGTGGCAAACACTTTATCCACCCTACCATCCTGCCAGCCCCATTTGACAGCTTGTTTCTGTGGGAGTCACCAGACCTCTGGGCCTCTGGTCTGTTTCAGGTAGAAATCAGCAGCAGCAGGAGGCAAAGAACTCATTAGGGCTTACTGATCAGTCCTGGTACTGGGCCACAGAAGGCTGGATGGGGACTAGGACCATTGTCCTTAGGTTGGACCGGTGATTCTGAGATGGCAATGTTGTCTCCTAGGAGATATTTGACAATGGCCAAAAAAGAGTTTGGCTGTCACAGCAAATGGGCTACTGGCATCTTTTAGTCAGAGAGCAGAGGTGTTATTAGAGTTCCCACAGTGCACAGGCTAACCCCATAACAAAGAAGTAACTGGCCAAAATTTCCAGTACTTTCAACATTGAGCAAGCCTAGGTTAGAGCAATCATGATGTCGTGTGTATATTTGAGTATAATGCTTTCTTGAGTGTAGTAGAGCATTTTGTACAGATAACTTACAGCATAGAGCATAGCAGCCAGTAGCCACCAGAGTGAGAGCCCAAGTCATGTCTCCAGTTTTGTTCAGTGGGTGAAATGATGCTGGCTAGGAGTGGAACTCAGGTGAGCCACTGTAAGGAGATGTTCCTGTTACTCTTCGAAAGGTATCAATGTAAAGTGTGAATCATCTTTTAGGTTGGTAGAGCATTTGCCTGGTATGTGCAAGGTCCTAGATTCAATCCTCAGTACTGCAACACATTCTTCCAGCTCCACGTCTTAGAGTCTATATCTGTGGGTTCAGCTGGCTCTGATAGAACACACAAACACACACACACACACACACACACACACACACACACACACACACACACCATGATCAGACCTCTTTTGTTGCCATCCCCTAAACACAGTGTAACAATGGTAGATAACATTTGTATTGAGTTATGGATTATGGGTAATCAGAAGATGTTTCAGTGTATCGGTATATAGGCTGACGTGCCACCCCAGAATTTGGTATCCAGTGGGGGGTCTGGGTTCCGTTCCGTATGGAGGCCAGGGACAGCTGTATCATCACTCATAGTTTAGTTGCTGTTACCCTTAGCAACAGTTTCCCGAGGAGCCTGGTGACTCGGGGTCCGGGGCTGCTCTAGTAGAACTGGCTCATCTTGATTTACAGCATTTGTTTTCTGATCGTGCTAAAAGATAGGAGGAAGACGGCTAAGCTCTGGACAGCATTTCCTTTCATTTTTCATTAGCCTTTGAAAAATGTCTCTTTCATGCAGTGTTCATTAAAGTTTTAATTTCGCAGTTTGTTCCCTTTTAAAGTGACATGCAATTAATTAAGGTTTAATGTGTCATCTATTTTTGCAGTGGCATTTTTACTGCCCCCCTTTCCATTTTCCTAGTTTATAAATTGTGCTCTAGCTAATGAGTTCCTCCTGAATTCCAGTTCCGAGTAATTGCCACTTTCCCAAGACTGGTACTCTTTAATGTGTCGCGGGACTAAGGCTTTCAGCAGGTGAGCTAGGGAGGTGGTCTTCCAGTCACGAGGCTTGATGTAGGCCTGCAGGGTGGGGAGGTGGCTGAGCCCCACGCTCTTGACTCAGAGCAACTGATCAGCCACCATGTTAGACACGTGGGTCTGTGTGAGATCTAAATGAAGATCCCGCCGATGCTGACTGGGTCCCTGGGGAGCTCACAGACTAGATAATTGCCCTAGTTCTGGATGCTTTGCCGGCGGAGAGTAATGGGACTTGGACTCTTGCATGATTTTTAACTATGCTGAGCTGAGATTGGTTGTGGTTCTGCATCCATTTCTGTAGGCAGCAGTTGGAATGTATGTGGATCTCAGCTGAGTTGGGGTTTAAGTCTGCAGTGTCTTTTGGGGAAGGGGGCATGGAAGAAAGATTTTCCAGGGAGTGACCATTGTCTCTAAAGAAACAGTCGCCAGGGCACATAAATGATTCATTCTAAAGAGTTGTCTTATGTAAACCCGGGGATTGGGGTGTCTGAAATTGATGGGGGTGTGCAGGAGGATTCAGTGCTCCAGGCAAGCTCTGGTTGCTCTTACCCCCTGCAGCTGATCGGTGAGGCTCCACCATATTTGAAAAGTAACCATTGTGACTCTGAGTCCAATCTCTCCAGGCTTGTGCCCAGCTCAGGATTTGGTCAAACCACTGGTTACTCTGGCCTAGCCAAGAAAATGCAAAATTAACCAGAATAACTGTTCTAGATCCTGCCACCATTCTTCATCTGTGGAAGCGCATCCTGGCTGCCTGACCCACTGGGGCAATGTGTGTTTTTTTTTTCAGGGGCGGATGTTCAAGCGAGGGATCCCCGCCGTGGGATGTCACCACAGGAGTGGGCTGCATACACTGGCCGAGTGGAGGCTGTTCGTGTCATGCAGAGGCTGATGGAGCGACCCTGCCCAGAGCAGTTTGGGGACAAGTACAAGCCAGAATTGCCGCTTCCCGCTGAGGCGCTCTTGAAACCAGCACGTTCCAAAAACTGCTTTCAGAGATTCACAGAGTTCCTGCGGTCCACTCTGACCTCCCGCTCAGGCCAGGGACTGGCGGATGGAGGTGTCCTTGATCACATGGTCAGGATGACCACAAGCCTTTATAGCCCCGCCATTGCTGTCGTCTGCCAGACTGTGTGCCCGGAGAACCCTCCCTGCGTGGGGAAACGGCGCCTGGCAGTGCAGGAAATCCTAGCAGCTAGGGGGAACCCGGACACCTATGCTCAGGATGGCTCTGAACTGCAATCCCAGACTTTGGAGACTCCCAGAGCGAATCCCTGGTCATCCCAGTCCTCTGGGGCCCCAGGACCCACCCCTGCCCCTGTCTCACGGAAGGCCAGCCTCCTGCCCTTGCAGTTGCTCCGGAGAAGCAGCGTGAGGCCAGGAGTGGTGGTTCCCAGGGTGCGCATCAGCAAGGCCCCTGCGCCCACCTTCCAGCCCGAGCGCCCAGCCCCAAAAGGCAACACCAAGGACAGTGTACACCTGCAGATCCCCAAGTGGCGGTACAAAGAGGCCAAGGAGGAGAAGAGGAAGGCGGAGGAGGCGGAGAAGAAACGCCAGGCAGAGGCTCAGAAGGAAAAGCGGGCGCCACGTTGGAGGAAAAGGACGTGAAGGGGCCGTGATACCCTCCGCGTGTGTGCCTGGTGTGGGAGCAGCGCAGGGATCCAGCTGGGAGGCTGCGGGTGGTGTAGATGGCACCACAGAGAGGGGTGCCCCTCTCCGCTGCATTACACAACCTCTGGGTCGTTCTTTCCTAGACCCACGAAGCAGGTTCTCCATTGTTCCCAAGACAGGATGGCTTTTGCTTAAAACTAGTTCCCTGAGCAGTTTATACACCCAAAGGGCAGTTTCCCAGAAGTCACCTCTTAGAGGACCCCAATGAAGAATTAAAAAACCTAATTTATCAAAGGGCATTTTCACATACTTTTTTATTTTGTTATTTATGAAAAACTGCAGCATTTTACAAGTGATGGGCTCTTTGTAATTATGGCAGTTTTAATCCCTGTGTTTGGAGACCCTTTGTTTAAAATGCTGCCTCTAGCAATAAATACTTGTAATGATTGTGTGAATCACACAGAACTCTGGCATTCTCCCCTTTCGCCCTTCGGTTCTGGCTTTTGCCTTCTCGTGTCCCGTGGACACACCTGGCTTTTCCTATTGACTTGAGTGATGCCAAATGCCTGCTTCTACTTGATGAGGGCACGGACTTCTATTCAAAACGGGCAGGTGAGATGGAAGCCTTCATTTCAGGAAGTCTCCTTCCTTTCGTTCCCTTTCTTAAACCTTTTGTTCTGACCATCGTCGTCATCATTGTCATCATCATCACTTATATCCTTGAAAGTGACCATGGCCCATTGCAGAAGTGCATGTGTTTCTGGGATCAAACTCATTTAAAACAAGAGGCTTGGATAGACAGACCATCCATCTTCCAGGTGATTTGAGGAGAACAGTTATTTAGCAGGGGGTAGATTTAACAAATGAGTAGTAGAAACACAATCGTATATGCCCAGAAAGAAGCAAATGTGGGTATCCTTAACTATGTCCAAGATGCAGAGGGCGGGGGTGCTGCAAACTTTTGAGGGGCAGACAGATGACTTTTAGGACAGGTGGAACACCCTAGATCCTAGACAGCAGTTTGGGGAAGGTTTTCCTGCAGTGATCTGCACTCAGGTGGCCCTCTCCTCCAGGGAGTCTCTTGTGTGTTTTGAGTGACAGTTTCCCCTTGATGAGCCCCAGTGTTCAGTTCATCCCCATCCCAACTTTGTAGACCTTCCGATATGTGGGGACTCAGGCCGGGATGGGATTTGCCTTGGGTGCCGACCTCTCAGTGGAAGGGTTCTTTCTATACCTTTCTTTCTTTTAGCTCCAAAGCATTAAAAAATTCCCAACTGAGTCTTAGCATACCAGTCACGTGCACTTTATTTGGATATTTAATGTAGCTACTTTATTACTTTATTTGGATATTTAATGTAGCTACTTGGTAGCTGTAGATTCAGAATACTACAGACTGATTTGGAAGCCCTTTGCTGAGGTCCGTCTCACACTGCAGGGAGGGGGAGAGTGGTACTGACTTAATCTTAATTCTTCATACTTGGTGCCATTAGGCATTGAGCAACGAGAGCTCTCCCACTAGCTTTCCCCGAAACACCATAAAATAGGTCAGTCTGACCTTAGATCTAAAAAGGCAGGGAAAGAAAGCCCTTGCTTTTCCCACTGCACTATGAGACTGAGACCTCTAGATCCCAGGAGAGGATGGAGGGCAGGGCTATGACAACAGGATATCAGCAGAGACCTCTAGATCCCAGGAGAGGACGGAGGGCAGGGCTGTGGCTTCAGGACATCAGCAGAGACCTCTAGATCCCCAGGAGAGGACGGAGGGCAGGGCTGTGGCTTCAGGACATCAGCAGAGACCTCTAGATCCCCAGGAGAGGACGGAGGGCAGGGCTGTGGCTTCAGGACATCAGCAGAGATCTCTAGATCCCCAGGAGAGGACGGAGGGCAGGGCTGTGGCTTCAGGACATCGGCTCTGCCTTCTGCTTTTGGAAAGGAGACCTGCTCTGTTTTCCTGATTTGGCAGAGTCGAGTCACAGGCCTGGGGGCCTGCTTGGCCTTGGGTGTATTAATTGTAAATAGTGAATTCCAAGTGGACAGGTGTCTTCTCAGGGATTTATACATAAATATAGTTGGGGAGAAGTTGAAGTGTAGTTTAAATCTTTTTGATGGTGAAGTCAATTAGGGTTAAACTGGATGAAAGAAATATTTCCAAGATAGTATCAAAGCTGTTGTTTCTAAGGGAGGTCTTGGGACTTGCCTCCGTGGAGATTTATGGGGACCTCGGCAGTAGGAATGACATCACAGTTGTGTCTCTCAGCTGCTGCTTCTAGCTGTGACCCTTGTGTTAACAGTTGCCTCCAGGTAGGCAGAGGTGACTGATGCCCAGATGGACAATCCATACCCACTCCCCAGAGCTGTTCTCTGAGCCCCTGGTCTATTCCCCTTGCTTTTAGGATAAGATGGCCACAGTCATTGAACGGGAGCTCACAGGGTGCCTTAGGAAGGATCGGGCTCCTCAGGAAGGAAGGATGAGGGACACTGTACCCTTGGTCCATCAATGACCCCCATGGGTAGTGTGCTTGCTGTGCTGGAGCAGGACAGTAGGTGGCAGGAGAGACTTTGCACCTCCTTCTTCAGCTCCTTCCAGGCTCCTGGGCCTCTCCTGATACCTGGGGGGGGGGGGGGGGGGGAGTCAGAATGGCAAGGTGTTTTCCATCTCAGCTTTGGATTTCCAGACTCATCTCACACACCGGGAAAGGGAGGATTCATGATGTGGGCTAGAAACTGGGTTTTATAGACTCAGAGAGGGTGTGCCAAGAGGCCTGTGGCCATTCCGTCCCAGCTGGCAGCTGGAACCAGGTCTCTGGAGAGGCACCAAGGCTGTTATAGACAAGAGAGAGGCTTGTGGGGAGGGGGCTGACTCCAGTCTCCAGGAGTCTGGGAGCATCTACAGTTATTCCCCAGAATAATAACTGTGTCTCACCGTAAATTCCCTCCTCTCATACGGTGAGGGGGCTTTTCTAGCGACTGGGAAATTCCAGCAGGTTCCCCGTGAGTTCTCCAGTGCTGGTCACTGTCTGGGCTCTGATCTGTGCTGCTAGCCCTTGGCCCCTTCAAGCCAGGCAACAATGTGGAGGACCACGGCTTCTAGAGCGTGAAGGCGGGAACACTGAGCATGATGAATCCTTAAAGAAACAACAAAGTCACACAACAGAAGAATGACCGGGGCTGTCAGAGCGAGGGTAGAGTTTGCCACAAAGAATGAAAAGGCACTTCTTAGTCACCCTGGCCAACTCTGCACATCTCTGTAACCCGAGTCCGTTATTCATTTATTTGCTAAATTCACATGTTTGTTAACTTTTTATTTTTTGAGCTGAGAACTAAACCCAGGGTTTGTGCTTGCTTGGCAACTGCTCTCCCGCTGAGCTAAATCCTCAGCCCCGAGCTTCACATGTCTACTCCTTAACATTTTTGATAACGTGACTGAAAATTTCTCCAGAGGCTTTATTTTATTGATTGTTATTATTAAGGCTTAGCAGTGCTATTGGGAATGCTGCCTGCTTTGGTCTGGCTGGATCGGTTTGGCTGGTTTTCAGGTGTTGCTGCTGGAAGCCAGGTGCTACACATGCAATTTTCACGCCCTGCCCCAACCTGAAGTAAGACTGTAATGAAAGGTGAACCCCCTTTTGTGCGCTGGCCGCCCTCAGCAGCAGGTTATATTAATGGGGTCCGTGCATGCTATCCACTTAAAAAGGCAAGCTGAAGGCCAGAACTCTGCTTGTAACTGTCCTAGCTGCAGGCTCACGGTGGCACTCAGGGAGTCTCTGCGGCCTGTTTGAGGTGTGTGCTCAGGTGGATTGCAAGGCCTGCGGGTCTACCCAGAGTCCCCAAACAGTGTGAAGCCTGGCTTGGCTGGAGTTTCCACACCCCAGGCTGTCCTACTAGGAAATGGTGCTGTCCCAGGTGGCTAACAGCAAATAACCCAGTTGCGTATGGGTCAACTCTGGCTTTGGTGACTGTCAATTGTGTGAGGGGCCCAGACCCAAGAGCACCCCCCTGGAGAGCTCCCACGGCCTCCCAGAGCTGCTGTCCTGCTTTGGGGGTGGGCGTATACTCTGTGGGACGTGACACAGGTGAACCCCTAGAACAGAATGGTACTCTAAGGAAGCGTTGGGATTTTCCAGTCTGCCTTGGTATTAGATCAGCTGGCTAGTTCTGGTTTTAAAAACATTCTCTTGGCTGTCACGTGACTTGCATTGTTTAGAAAGAGAAGGTAGATGGCAGAGGCATGAAACTGTCCATCCCAGGCAGAGAAAGCAGCAGGCCGGGCTGACCTGACCCTGTATGGATTTGAGGAGTAGCAAATCAGGCACATAACACACAGCAGTTAGAAAGTTCTAGAAACTAGCTCACAACGGTGTGACTCTGTGTACATGTGACAGGAGGGTGAGTGGACACCACATGTCCAGAAGTGGCACCGTCATCCTCTCCACCACCGACCTGGGGCCTGCTGTGGGGTTAGAACCCAGGGCTCCATTCGAATGATGGCGAAGCCTACTAGGACTGGAGCTTTCTTGGTCCAAATCATAATTCTAAAAACAAACAACAAGAAGAGAGTTGGGCCTAGAATTTGCTGGGGTGTGAGAGTCTCGGCTTTCAGTGGTGGGAGACTGACGGTGAGGGACGGAGCCGACTTCTGTACCGCCAGGGTTCAGGGTCCTGCCTTCTGGTTTGAGCTCTGTTTTACTGAATGTGAAGCCATTTCCTTTGTCATTCCTAACCCCCTCCCCCCTTGTGAGTTTTTGGATGCTGTACAGATGTTGAATGTGGATATCATTGTAAATTCCAGAGTGGTTTATTTTGAGATGAGAATTTTGCTACAGTTTATAACAGGATATTTTCCTATTTAGACCTCAGGGACCTTGGGACCCACTAATAAGTGTGACCCCCCCACACCCCCAGCAGCTTCAATTCTGGATAGACAAGTTATGTAATCTCAAAGTTAAATGTGATATATTATTCAGTAGGAAGAATGTGTTTCTCTCTTTCAACTTCTGACAAATTCTGTTGTAAAAGTGTAGAAAAAAGAGACACTAGAAAAAAATAAACCAATGGTGAAAAGAATTAAAAATCACCTGTAAAATAAACATTATGGTATAAAATTGTGATATTTGAATAAATTATTTTAAAATACTATCAAATGTATGGTATTTTCCTGTCATTTGTTTTGGTTGAAACGGTTCTATACATTTTGTTTCCACACACTTCCACTTTATTTTCATGGGTGTTTCTCGTGAGTGCTTCCTTGTACCTCACAAGGACCATGGTCCACCCCTTCCAGAAGGCACACCCCTGAGACAGAAGGCACCCCAGTTTTCCTCTGTCTCCCTTTACCTGAGTGGCACGCTATATGTGTTATCATTCAGGGATTTTTAAAAAATCATTAATTAATATTTCTTTGTGGAGTTTTAAAAATAATTTAGAAATGTGGTTTTATATTTAATGACTTATTTGTGTGCACGTGTGCGGCACACTTGCCTTTGGTGTGGTGGGTTAGCGGACAATTGTGGAAGTTGATCCTCTCCTTCTACCAGGCAGTTACTGGAGATCAAACTCACGTGACCAGGCTTGGCCGCTCCCTTTGCTCATAGCCGTCTTCCCAGTCTAGGTGGTTCTCAAATTTGCGTCCCTCCTGCCTCTGCCCCTTCAGCATGTCCTACTTTTATGTATTACCACAGCTTGTTTAAAATATTTAAAAAAGTAGTTTTCACAGAACCAAAGGTAGCCAACCTGAGGGGGCAACAAGAAGCCACAGTGAAGGGATCTGTGAGGAAGAGACCCCTCAGCACCCGAGGCTGCTCCCGAGCAGCTGTGTGATCCTTCTAGAGCTGGGGCTTCATTTCCACTTCTCATTAAAAATTTATTATTTTACTATTTTTTACTTTATGTATATGAGTGTTTTGTATCCCTGCTGCTCTCAGATCTTCTGGAATGGGTTACAGATGGCTGCCAGCTGCCATGTGGGTTATAGGAATCAAACCTAGGACCCTTAGAAGAGGAGACAGTTCAGTGACAGTTGAACTATCTCTCCAGCCATGTGTCTTTATTTTTTTTTTAAATATTTATTTATTTATTATGTATACAATATTCTGTCTGTGTGTATGTCTGCAGGCCAGAAGAGGGCACCAGACCTCATTACAGATGGTTGTGAGCCACCATGTGGTTGCCGGGAATTGAACTCAGGACCTTTGGAAGAGCAGGCAATGCTCTTAACCACTGAGCCATCTCTCCAGCCCCCCATGTGTCTTTATTTTTAAAAACTGTATTTTACATATAATAATACAACTTATATGTCAAATAACATAATAGCTTGGTACAATTTTGAATAGAAGAAAAAAAGAGAAACAGGTGACAAAACCCCTCCCCCAAAGCGAATTTTTACAAACCACTTTACTGAGTTGGGTCCATGTGACCAGTCAGGTCTAATTCCCCTCTCATGAACGGTCAATGGAATTGAAGGGAGCCTAGCTTCCTCACTCAGGCTCAGAGGAACAACATATGCTGGATTCTTTTGAGATGCAAAATGGTTCTTGCTGCTTCAACGCACAGAAAGTTGAAATCACAAATGCACTGTGAAACTAGAGAAACATTAGCTGTCTGTCTTCTTTCATGTCCCACGTGTACTGCCTGAACCCCATCCGTCTTCATTTCCTGCTATTACCCTCTCAATATCCTTCCTAAACTTCGGGACTTTACCCACACTCACAGATTAATGTGTATGTGTGTATACATATGCATATAAACGTATGT